GAAATTTAACTATAGGTTGAAGTGTGCCATGAGATAAAAAAAGGTTGAAAAACACTACTGTACATTGTCATCCACTGTGAGATAGGGATGCTGAGTTTAAGAATTATAAAGAGCCTTAGAGATCATCTAGAACCTTCTGTAACAATGAGAATGTTCTCTGTGCAGTCTAACATAGTAGTCACTAGCCACAAGTGGTTTCTGAGCCCTTGAAATATGGCTACTATGACTGAGAAAATAATTTTTTCTTTAGTTAGTTAATTTAAATGTAAACAGCCACACTTGGCCAGTGGATACCACACTGGCTGATATAGATGGAGCACATCTGGTAAGGTGGGGGTTTGGGGTTACCACTATGACCAGGCACTCCAGAGGGCAGAGATGCTAAATCCTGCCATGTGCTGGACATCACACTCAAAAGCAACCTGCCCTCCCTCAGCAGGGATCCTCCAGTAAGCACCTGCTCAAAGTTCAACCTGTCAATTGACTAAAGGCCAAACAGAGGCTCACTAGAGACTAGGGAGGCTGAGGTAGAAACCCAGACCTGTGGCCACCTCAGAGAGGATGGTGGAGAGTCAGGTCAGCATCTAGCTTCTGGGCTTCCAGCTCAGGCCCAGAGACAAGGAACTGCCTGGGCAAGACACCCTCTTCTTGGAGGTTTAGCCCACAGTGCTTTCTGGGATCCTTTTCCCAAAGGGAGACTAATGGGAATCCTTACAACACTCTCTGAGGCTGGAGGGGTGGTGGTGCTGGCTGTGAGCTCACCTCTCCTCCCTGCTAGGGGAGGAGTCTATGAACCATCAGGACAGTGAGAGTCCCACATGTCCTATCTGCCCTTGGCAGATTATGCCAAGGCCCCACACTGGCCCCTTTGGGGTCTCTTGAGCTGCATAGCCAGGGTGAGCAGCAGAGGGACAGAGGAGACAACCACTAGTGCTCAGACTGTGGGGCCCTCTTCAGAGAAGGAAGACTCCAGTTCCAGGCCTAGAGTTTGGGATAAAGGCAGCTCCAAGGGGGCTCCCTACCACCTCCCCACAGGTCCCAGGAATGGAGGACCTACTGCCAAGCCCAGAGCAGTTTTTTCTGCTCATTCCTCCCTGCTTCTTGAGCCAGGTCCAAAATTGATTAAAACTAAGTAAAAAGCGCTGCCCAGGGAATGACAAAATTGCTAAAATTCTCTTTTCTTCCCTCATTCTATTGTTCTCTCTCCATCTGGTGCTCCAGAGATCAACTAAAGTCACTGGTTACTGTGGAAACCACCCCTGACTATACCCCCTGCTCCCGCATTGCGGGCCTGCCTACCCCCAGGCTTTAGGGCTCCAGCCCTGCTGTCCAGCTTCCGCTACTGCTACCCCGGATTCCAGACACATCTGCCTTCAGGGGCCCTGGACCCCTTTCCACACTGCCTGCCCAGGGGCCCAAGAGGGAGAACAGGCACAGGAGGGAGCCAAACTTTCCCAAACTTGCCTCAAACTCTGACTTGGCCTCAAAACATCTAAGCAAAGTGAGCAGAGAAAGTAAAGGAGGCGGCGGAAATGGGGTGAGTGGGGAGGGCTCATAGCAGTGGTTCCCGGAGCAGCACACCAAAGCAGCAGGCGGCCAGGCAGGCGGCTGGAGGGAGGGAGCAATCGAGCGCTGCCGCCTGGTGCCTGCCCAGAGCTGGGAGGGGAGGCCCGCCTGCTATCCCTTCCTCTGGCACCCCCTCCCGCCCTCTGCCAGCAGGGCTCTCTCGGCCTTCCTGGCACAGAGCGGAGGGGGCTGGCTCCAGCCCCTGCTCAGAGCCATTGTTTTTCTTCTCAACACCCCCAAGTTCAAGTTCATCTGGGTGTTACATCATGTCTGGTTGCTCCTGGAAACCAGACGGGTCAGACGTGACTCTGGGGAAAGGGGGTGGGAAGCTGGAGGGAGCTGAAGTTCTTTTCCCCTCCCCTCCTTGCCACTAGGGAGCTCTGAAGTTTGTAGTTTTGACAAAGTTTTTTTTTTTAAGAGAGGAAAGAAAAATCTCAAACCACACACAAAACTTCCATCCACCAACTTTCTCTGGACTCAGACCTCAGAGCAGAGGCAGAGCAGGAGATGAGAGAGGTAGCCCTGGGGGCTCTGGACAGAGGTAGATTTCCCTGGGCTGAGGAAGCTACCAAGGAGGTGTTTTTGTAAAATGCGCAAGCTGGAGGTCCTCCAAAGCTGCCTCTTCCCTGCTCCTCACCTTGGTCCTCCTCACTGGGTCTAAGTGGGCACTGGGTTGTATGGGCTCTTCCCAGCTTTGTGGGGACAAGCATGCATGGGACTCCTACCCATGTGTACACCTATATATACATTCAAGGTCAAGCTCAGTGGCCTCCAGCTGGAGGACTGAGCAAGTGGCTTATTTTCTACTTGTGACAGGACCTGTCTCCTTTTGAAAACTGGGAGTGGTGTCAGCAGGGGATGGGAACAGGGACAGAGGGCTCTGGCCTGTTGGCCTTCCCCCTAACACATTGGGACTTGGGGGAGGGGCCTCCCAGGCAGTGGCCAGTCCTGCCCTGCCAGAGCCACTGGGCACACAGCCCACCAGGCCTGCTCAGTCCCTCTTCTACTCCCTGCTCAGCCCACCCAAAGCCAAAGAAGAGGGGAGGGGTAGGGACCAGGGCAATGAGGGAGGCGCTGTCCTCTTCCTGACAGGCCTCAGGCTTCCATCTTTGCCTTTACTAGGCCTAGCCCTCAGTGCCTCTAGCCTTGGGTCCTTGGCTGCCTTCCCTAGGGCCCAGGCTGTCAGAGCTAATTAACCAATTAGCTGATTAGCCAGGGAGCCTGGGGGCTGCCTGGGGAGGAAGGCTCAGCGGGGCACAGAAGCCTGGGCCCTCCAGCTCCACCCCAGATCTCTCTCCCAGATTAGCCCTGAGGACCCCAGACTCTTCTCTGATATCAAGATTTCCCAACCCTGCCTGCTCTCCCTGTCCCTACATCCAGACATGGCCAAGATCTCCTACCTGAGACTGCTGTGGGATGTTCAGAAAGTTGCCGTCCCGGGGTCCGATGCTGACAAACCGGTTGGCAGAGGCGGTGCCTGTCGTTGCGAATGCTGTGGGGAGCAGGGAAGAGAGGAAAAGACCCTGTCAGGCCTTAGGGCCTGCCTGGGCACTGCCCCTCTGGGCTGCTGAGAGAGGGAGAGACTAGGTTAGACCATGCTACCAGGGATTAGGCTGGCAGTGGGAAGGACAGGCCCAAGGGATAGCTGTGCTGGAGGCCTGCCTCCCTTATATGGGGACCCCCCCCCACCATCCTCTCACTGACCAGTACACACTGCACCCCCTGGCAGCCACAGCCTCAGCTAGGTATCCTCTTTCATTGCCTAGGTGAGGGAGGAGCCCTGGAGGCTGAGATTCTGTCCCCTAGTGAGGTGCTGGGCAGGGCTGGGATTGTTAGCCCTGGTCCCCAAACACCCTCATTGGGTACCCTTGCTTTTCCCGGGCCCCTCTCAGGCATTAAGAAGGGGCTGAGAGAGGGTAAGACCTTTGGCTACCCCATGCCTCCCTGTTGAGGAAGGGATTCTCAGCCAGGCCACCTCTCCTACTGGGGGCCCAGCTGGATGCTATACCACTTAGCAGGCAGGCCCAAGGACTGGGCAATAGATTGGGAAGCTCAAAGGGGACCCAACAGAGGACTGAGGCATGTAGGATAGGGTCAGAGAAGGGCCCAGGGGTGGCAAGCCTCAGGCCCATGGCATCCTCCTTCTCTGACTGATGCATTAGGTCCAGTAGCCTATGGTCCTAGGCAATAGAGGACCAAGGCAACAGAGGAAGAAGAGGCTGGAAGGCTGGCAGAGCCCAAGGATTTGGACACCTAGAGGCAGCTGTCCTGGGGCCCAAGGAGGCAAAGGAACCATATACCCCTGAGCTTTTGTTAGGCTGTCCCCTGGAACTCTACAGGAGGGCACAGGCCTTATATCCCCAGGAGGGAAGATATCCACAAAAGGGACAAGGAGTATCACAAGTTGCCTGGGAGGCCCACCCCCCTTCTCTGCACCAGACACACTCAGGGACCCTGTGTTCACAAGACTCTGTCCACCTCTCTCCAGAAGTCCCCCCCATTCTGCAGCCTGGCTCTCCTCCCCGACCCTGCCCACCTCCAATGACCATGACCACGTGTCCTATGGCAGATGTAGATGGGAAGATGGCATGAAGAGGATGGAGAGGGGAAAAGAACTCAAACCACAGAAAGGAGGAGAGACAGTGCGGACGGAGAATAGTGTGAGATGGGCCAACCCTCCCACCACAGCACCACCCTGGCCTGTGGCTTGCCAGCCCCCAGAGTGCTGCCCACCCCCACCCTGGCCCCACAGACAGCACCCCACCCAGTCTCCTGTCCTTAGCGTCGGGTCTACCTGGGGCCTCTCGACTCAGATTTTTCTTCTCCTCCCTTTGATAAAATTTTTCATTGGTTTAAAAGAAAAAAAAGAGAAAAGAAAGACAGAGAGAGATGAAGTAAGCCAAAGCCCAGAGCCCTCCCTCATTCTTGAAGCATCCAACCTGGGAAAGGAATTGAAGAGAGGAAGGGGAGCAGGATGGGAGGGGGAAAAAAAAAGAGGAACAACGAGAAACCAAATGTGAGACTAAGGGAAAAGGGTCAAGGGCTGGCCTGCTGCATCTTCTGAGGCCCGAGGGCCCAGGATGGAGGTGAGAGGGGCAAGGCAAAAAAGGGATGGTGGTGGCGTCGCCTTGTGGTTACATTTGATTTTCTTGGTGTGTGTGTGGGACAACGAAACAACAAAAAAATTAAAAACAAAAACAAAAAACAAAAAAACAGCAATCAGGCATGAAGATGGCATGGCTGCGCCTCCCCGCCCCTCCCACCCCCGCCAGCACCCCGGCCAGGCCCACAGTGCTGTCCCTCCCGCCCCCCAGAGGGGCCTGGGCCAGGAGCCCAGGCTGGGAGCAGCAGGCAAGGGGCTCGTGGGGTGCTGGCTGGTGCAACTGAGGCCTGGGAGGGAGGCTGTGGTTGGGGGGCTCAGCTCTGATCTTGTCCAGATAGGAGGTTCCGTGGCTTGGGGGGGCTTTGGCAATGGGGAAGGGGGAGGCTTTTCTTTTTGCAGTGGAGACTGTTTGGATGGGCCGGGGATGCTGGGCGTTGTGGTTTCGGTTTCATCGTCCACTTACAAGGTGATGGAGGAGTCAAGGCGGCGCCGTCTGGGGCAGTGCTGGTGGATTTGGAATCAGGCATAGGAAGGGGCACAGGTCTGGCCACTGGAGGCGGCGGCGGTAGCAAAAATGACCCCGGGACTTTGCCCTGGCCGCTACCGTTGGGCTGCGAACAACATAAATAGAGTGACGCATGAAGGTACATCACACACAGACACACGCTCCCCTGCGCAGCCGCGCCAGCTCGCTCCTGAGAGCGGGCGCTCCCGGTGGAAGATGCAGGATTGGGTTCTCATCCAGGCACAGGATGGGTGAGGGTGTGAGGCCTCTATTTGGTCTCTCAGGTGTTTCTCTTTTTTTTTTTTTCCAGTTCTCTTTTGAAGTTGTGGGAGGGAGGAAGAGGGGGTGTCCGAAGGTTTGTTCTTTTTTAGGGAAAATGTTTTAAGTAGAAAAATGTGCCACCTAGCAAATACATGCGACTGCACCTAGGACTCTCACGTTCCTGAAGACCTACAGCAGGAAAGATGAGCCAGCCTATCCCCCACCCCACCATCCCCCACAAGTACATGTGGGCCTCTTTTTCAGGGCCCCTGGGTTGGAACTGGTTGACCCAACCAAGGAATGCAGACTGGCCAGCATCACCCCATGGCACGGTCTCAGGAGGCCACCAGAAGTTGGGGAGCTTGCCCTGAGCTCCAGTAGCCTCAGTCCTCACTGCCTATGAGGAGCGGGATGCTGGCCTGTTCTCTGAAGAGCAGCCAAGGAGGGAAATCCATCGCTGCCAGCTCCAGTTCCTGGGAGGTTCTTCCCTGTAGATGCCCTCAGAACTCAGGGATGCTTGGCCACGGGATCCAGTCCTTGTCCTTTATGCCCTTATTTGCTTCAAACTTAAGTTTCCTCCTCCAGGGCTCATGTGTAGCCTTGCATGTCTCAGCCTTCTGGCTTCAGGGAATGAAAGCACCAAAGGAAGAGGCACAGGTTCCCCTGCCTCTGCAAGCACAGTTTCCCTGGAGAGAGCTCCCTGGAGGTCTAGACACGTCCCTCCTGCTGTTCTGGATGGTGTCCTGAATGACCACCCACAAGCAACCCAGGCTCGGAGAGGCCTGGCCTGAGCCCTGCATCCTAAACTGGCTCCTCTCCTGGGGGGCAAAGCTCTGCTCTCCCAGTTCCAGTCCCCCAGGTGTGAGACCTAGGGAGATTCCTACATGCTGCTCCTCTTAACCATCAGGCAAACTACACAGTGCCCAACCCCTTGATGTCTGCAGTCAGCCCCTCATTTTGTCCTCAAATTTCATCTGAAATATGACAAAGAGACTGCAGGGGGTTGCCATGTGCTGACAGTGTGCCCATCAACTCAGGACTCTCAGTGTCCAGCGCCAGACCAGGCACTTTATTACGTTGTGTCTAACCCTCCATAGGACAACAGTTCTCACCTCTTACCCAGGGGTGATACTGCCCCCCCACAAGAAACCAGCAATGTCTGGAAACATTTGGGGTTGTTACAACTAAGGGGCTGGGGTTCCCTGGCATGGAGTACGTGGAAGCCAGGGATACTGCTCAGCACTCTATAGCTCACAGAATGGGTCCTCAGGACGAAGGATCTCAGTCCAAACATGAATGCTGCCATGGCCGGGAGACCCTGCTGTGAAGGGAACTCTAGTCTACTCATTTCACAACTGAGGAAACTAAGGCTGTCCACAATTAAGTGGTTTGTCCAAATTGCCCAGTGACAAATGGCCAGGCCTGGACTTTACAGCCATGTCTATTTGAATCCAGGATCCTTTCCAGCAGGCTCATCAACCTTCCCCAAATCTAAATCAGCTCAGGCTTCTCTCATTCTCCAAAAGCTTGCACAGCTCCAACTACAGGGTAGAATCTCCCCAACTGGGCACTCAAGGGCTCCACCAGGGAGCCTAGGGGTTCTCCCACCACCCATCCCTCTATCCCTCATTCCCTAGGCACGTCCCATTCCAAACCAAACAAGGTTTCAGGAACACAGGCTGAGCTGCTAGTCCTGGCTCACCTGTTCACTACAGAGCCCTGTGTCTAGAAGACCATTTCCCAAAGCCTTCAAGCCCTGCCCAGAAAATACCATCCCCTCTGTGGGGACCAGCCAGATGCCCTGAATCACATCCATCTCTCTGCCCTGTTCTTCCAGGACACTCTTGACTGCCACTACAACCTGCAGCAGGCTGCCTCCCTGCTTCTCCCTGCTGGCAGAAGCATGGAGCACTCAAGTACCACTGGCCACATAGGAGTTGCTCGGCTCCCCTGCTTTGCTTTAGCATCACGAAAGCCCTGGCTGACCTGTGTGTGCTGGCCGCACCCTTCCATACTCTAGCTTGTCCTCCCACTGTCCTTTACCTCTAATGACCAGCACCCAGGTCTGACACACTGGCCCTCTAGATGGTTCCTTCACTCAAGTATTCCTGTCTACTCTGAGTAACTCTCAGGAGCCCCTGACAAAGACCAGCAGTGGCTGTGCTGGTCCTCATCTGTTTCTTGGGCTGGAGACTTTCTATGCTTGGTATCATTTTGGAAGGGGACTCTTCAGTCTTGGACAACAGCACAGGCAGAGTGCAGAAGTTTCCAGCTGTGCAGGGGTGACATGGAGATCTAAGTAGCAACACTCTCCCTCATTTCCACAGCCTGTCTGGTTCCTATCTTACTCTTACATCAGAGCAGGAAATGGAATGGTCCCATCCAGACAGGTCACAGCTTCACTTATTCTCTGGGGGGCATCCTGAGCTCAGTCTCCTGGTGAGCTGGACACAGAGGTCTTCAAGGCAGCCCTTGCTACCACAGAGCAGCCTCTGCCTCCCTCAGGTCTTCAGAGTCTCTTTTCCACAGGAGTATCTAAATTGCTACTCCCAACCAGTAAGATTAATCCCAGCCCAATATAGCTGGACATTGAAACTTGCTGATTTACAACATTCAGTTTTTAGAAAGTAACTTCCAACCAGACTGGGAAGTCTTTTTTTTTTTTTTGAGACAGAGCCTCAAGCTGTCCCTATGGGTAGAGTGCCATGGCATCACAGCTCACAGCAACCTCAACTCCTGGGCTCAAGAGAGTCTCCTGCCTCCGCCTCCCAAGTAGCTGGGACCACAGGTACCCGCCACAGCGCCAGGCTATTTTTGGGTTGCAGCCATCATTGTTGTTTGGCAGGCCGGGCTGGATTCGAACCTGCCACCTTAGGTGTACATGGCTGGCACTTTAGCCACTTGAGCCAGGTACTGAGCTCAGACTGGGAAGTCTTAGCTCTAATTGGTGTACAAGTTAAGGGTATAAAAATCTCAAAGTCCTGTGGCATCATACTGCTTTAAAACCTTGTGAGTAGGAGCTAGAAGGAACTTAGAGGCTGGTATAGACCCTCACTTTAATCTTACAAATGAAGACGTGAGCCTGGCCATTCAGCATTGGTGGTCTAGGCTGAGCCCCAGTCACACCCTCCCATCGGGCCCTGTGGCTGCTCCATTGCCTTTGCTTGGCTGTCTCTTCATTTGCCCTGAAACACAGCTAACCAGGCATCCTCTTTCTGCCCTTTGCATCTCCTCTGAGTGGTATCTCCACTCAGCCTTGGTATTACCCCACCCTAGAGTTCAAGGATTGGCTATAGGGCTGCCTAGGAGCCCTTCTGCAAACATCTGTAAAATTCTTCTATGCAGATATTTTTTCTGCCAAGCTGATCTGTGACTTCGGGTTCAAGAAGGTTAGATATTTAATCCTGTAGGCTCTGGATCAGTGGTTCTCAAAGTGGGTGCCTTGACCAATAGCATCAGCATCACCTAGGATTGTGGAAGACATGCAGATTCTCAGGACCCACCCCGGACCTGCAGAATCAGAAGCTCTGGGGTGAGGCCCAGCCATCTGTGTGTCAGTGAGGCCTCCAGGTGACTCTCATTCATTCTAACAAGCACTGCTGTCACAGAGGCTACAGTGCAAGCACAGGCTGGCATTACCACTCCCTATTGCTGGGTCAGCCGCAGAGCCCGGGGCCTCTGGCTCTCTGTGCAGCTACCACTGGCCTCTTCCACAGCATGGTGCTGTCTCCAGCCTCCTCTCAGAGCTAGGGGGGAGCTTCCTCCTCCTCTCTTTAGCATGATAGACCACAAGAGGAAACCCAGAGATGCTGCTCCTGGTTGGGGCACACTCCCTGCTTAATCAGGTGCCTGTCTATGTTCTTTTTTTTTTTTTTTTTTTTTTTCCTAATTTAATTTTTTAGAGATAGGGGTTCTCTGTGTTGCCTGGGCTGGAGTGCAGAGGCGTGATCATACCTCACTGTAGCCTCACACTTCGGGGCTCAAGAGATCCATATACCTCAGCCTTCCAAGCAGCTGTGACTACAGGCTGGGCCACTGTACCCCCTGTCTGTTTGTATTCCTGTCCACAGTGTTCTATCCATGGTTTACTGGCAGCAACAGCTGCCTCAAGAAAGGAACTTTCTAGGCAAAGTGAGTCCTCAATCTTGAACAGTCAAGTCAAGGGGGAGGATCAGGACCCCGCTCTCCAGACAGCTAGGGAACTCAAGAGGTCTGTGATTAGATGTGACTCCTTGAGCCAAACTGGTCCCTAGGCCAACCTGATTTTGACTCCAAACCCCTTCTACTTCTATAGGTGACAAAGAAGGCAAGGCAGTGTTCCCAGCCTTTCTCACCCATATTCTAGATCCCTACTTCCTATGAGGGCTGGGGCAAGGGCTGGCAACTCCCTGTGGACTCTGCCAGTATCTCTCTGAAGGAAACACAGTGGTTGTCAAGCATCAGGTCTGCTCTGCCTTCCATGAACTTAAAAGTGAATAGAGCCTGTCCAGAGGTGGGTGAAGCTGTAAGTATACTAAGGAGCTATAGAGTCAGCAAGAGAAACCCTCGCAAGGCAAAGAGGGAAAGGAGACACGGAGAAGAGTAGAAGGAAGGCAAGCAGGAGGGAGGGAAGAGGACTGGCTCCCAACAGATTGAGAAGAGTGAGCCACAGCTCCACCCCAAATCAATACACCAGCACTTAGTAAATGCCAAGGCAGCACTGGGCCGGCTAGTAGAGGGCAGCCTCTGGTGTAGGCTTCTGGAACGCCTTTCCCAGCCACAGCCTTTTGAGCATACTTCCCACTTGGCCGCTCACATTGGGCTTCCAGGCTGGCAGAGCTGGCTGGAAAGGAGCTAAGGCTTCTTCTCATAGAGCAGCAAGCTGCTGAGGCTCCAGAGCCTCTAGAGATCACCACGTCCCAGCCTGAAGTGGTGCCCTAGGGACGAAGCAAGAACCACTGCCCCATTGATGGGTCATCTCTGGCCCAGCACTTCTTGGGATATAATTCCTTTGCTGAGTAGCCCTGAGTTTCTGCTTGCTGCTGATGAAGAAGGGCTCCATGGGAAGCTAGTTTGTCTCCCTGGGCTGAGGAGCATAAGGCTTTGCTCTAGAAATGGAACTGTCCTGGGAACTCTTCTTTAAGATTCCTGCCAACAGGAGTCTCCACGGCAGCTCTGTGGGCCAGGGCCTTCCCTCTCCACAGTGTGTCTCACGGGGGATGATCTTGCCCTCCTGTGCATAATGAAATCTGGAGACATTTTGATTATCAGACCTGAGGAATAGGCCCCTGGTGCCTAGCAGGCAGAGGCCAGGGATGCTGCTCAACACCCTACAGGACCCAGGATAGTCTCAAACAATAGTCAACAAATGGACCTAAGTGTCAAGAGTGTTGAGATTGGGCAACTGTGGTCTAGAATCTACCAAATCTTTGTAGCTCTGAGGTTTGAGAGGGGTGCTAGGAAGCAGAGGCCCAGGCCTGGGCTGGACAGGTCACAGGTTTATTCCTGCTGGGGAACAAGGACTATGGAAAAGGCAGGAGCCTGAGCAACATGGTCCAGTCACTGCCCTCACTCTGGACCACAGCATTCAGGCCCTAACAGAGTGCCCAACCCCTAGCCCTCCCCCAGATCCAGAAAATCCAGGCGTTTGTTCTTTCGTTCGGTACTACCATCTCCCTGCTGCTCCAACACCAGGCAGGCTCCTGTTTTTCAGACCCTCTGAGACAGACAGACAGACACAAAGATGAGGCAATGGGGCTCCTGGGGCCCTCTGGACTCACCTGTCCTGTGGCCTGGCCTGAACCATCCGAGCACACAAACTGCACAAACTCCTTCAGCGAGTCCTGCCCGTGGTGGTGGTGGTAGCGGATGGTCGGGTGCGTGAAGTACGGGCTCGACTGTTGGATGATAGACGTGGAGGGGAAGTGCAGGGCTGACGCTGTGGCCCGGGGGCTCCCTGCATGCACGTGGGCAGGGAGAAAAGGGTGTCAGGGTCAAGAAGGCAGCTAGCAGAGTGGGGGTGGAGATGCAAAAAGAGGGAGGCTGCTGGTCACAGGGCTGAGTGTCCCAAGGAAGAGGGAGGACAGTGCAGGAGCTGAGTGAGGCAAGTGAGGCACTTGTCACAGGTGCAAAAGTTAAGGCAGCACAAAAAAAGGCAGTCATCAAGATCAATAATGTTTTCATGCAACGTGAAAAAATACTACAATCAAATAGGTAAACTAAGGTCTACAGGCTAGCTACTTGTTTTTGTAAGTAAAGTTTAATCAAAACCAGGATGAGATAGATAAGGTAAGGTCAGACCCTGTCTTTGTTTCAAGTTAATGTTTGCTTAACATATCCTTATCCTTTTTGCGATACTGACTTTTTAAAAAATGGTGTTCATGGCTCAGCTCCCATAGCTAAGTGGTTAGGGCACTGGCCATATACACTGGGGCTGGTGGGTTCAAACACACAGCCTGGGCCAGCTAAACAACAATGACAACAACAAACAACAAAAAGCCAGCGTTGGGGTGGGCACCTGTAGTCCCAGCTACTTGGGAGGCTGAGGCAAGAGAATCGCTTCAGCCCAAGTTTTTGAGGTTGCTGTGAGCTGTGACACCATGGCACTCAACCAAGGGCAACATAATGAGACTCTGTCTCAAAATAAATAAATAAAACAAAAAATAAATAAAATAAATAAATAAATAATTGTGTTAAATTTTTATTTAGGCTGGGCCTGGTGGCTCACACCTGTAATCCCAGCACTTTGGGAGGTCAAGGCAAAAGGATGACTTGAGCCCAAGAATTCAAGACCAGCCTAAGCAATAATGAGACCCCGTCTGTATGAAAAATAAAAATAAAAATAAATTAGCTGGGTCTGGTGGCATGTGCCTGCAGTCCCAAGATCCCTTAAGTCTAGGAGTTAGAGACTGCAATGAGCTATCATGACACCGCTGTACTCCAGCCTGGGGGACAGAGTGAGACTATGTCACAGAAAAAAGAAAATCATTTATCTCAATGACTGAGTTTTAGGCCCCTCTTGTCATTCTGCACCTATAGTGAGTGCCTCCCTCACCCTAACCTGGCCTAGGCCCTCCTGAGAGACTGGGTGAGGGATTGGAGGAGGCAGATGGCTCCATGGGGCTCTGGATGAAGACACAAATATCTGACACATCTCCTGAGCATGAGCTGGTGTGCACCCAGTCACTGTCACCCAGGCTGCCTTCTCATGTGCTCAGTCCCATTACTCTTGCACACCACGCATCCTCATACATGCAATTCCCACCCCAGCGCAGGCCCGGGCTCTTCCCCCTCCCGTCTGTTTCCAATCAGCTCACTCTTGCTCTCAGTTTCATTAGGAGGCTGAGGAAACTTGGCTTCTTTCTGGAGTTCATATATGCTGAGCTGGAGCCAGAGGAGCCTGGCCTGCCGCCCTCCGCCCTCCTGCTGCTTGCGCAGAGGGCCCAGGCTCCCCGCCCCCACCTTGCGGCCACCACGCCTTACCCCAGTTCTGGCTGCCTCTGGGCTCCCAGCCAGGAGGCCCCAAGGAGGAAGCTGGGAGGTAAAACTCCCTGTTCTCCAACAGAAGAGCCCAGAGACCATGGGTAGACACAGGGCTATGTCCAGAAAATGTCCAGGCCTCTTGCTGCCAGATGGGTGCCCAGTGAGGCAGTGGCAGGGCTAAGGACTAGCTCCAACAACTTCCTGCCTGACTCTATCCCCTCAAGGAGACCTAGGTTTTCTCAACCCAGCCACCTTTTAGTCTAGAAACAATAAAGCCAGAGAGCAGCCCCGGAGGAAAAGGGTGGCTCCTTTCAGTGCAGAGCAGCCCAGGCACTACCTGTCCCCTAAACCCAATCTTTCATTTCTAGACAAGGGCAGAAGGTCCAGAGAAGGGAGCCTCTGGCCCCAGTACACTAGGCACTAGGCTCCTTAGAGAGAGCTACTCAATCCCCCCAACCTGGGTTATGCTGGGAAGACAGACCCTGGGCTCAGGGAGAGGAGGCCCAGAGAGAAGGCTGTCCTATGGAGCTGGAAGGACGAAAGGAGAGCCTGGCTGGCCTGGAGGAAGTCTCAAAACAGGCCTGTGCCACACACAGGCACATGTGGAGTGAGGAGCAAGTGGGAGGGTACTCGGGAATCAAGTGAGCAGCCCCAAGCTGGGCCCAGTCCTCCAGGAGGGGCTGCCATGGAGTAGGGCCCATGCCCACGCCCACCTGCTATCGCCCCATACTTTGCTTGGGGTTGTCACTTGAGGTCAGCTCTGGCCACTTCACCTGGCCACCTGCCCCTCAGTGTTCAGTCACCTCCCCAACTGCCCCCCACTGGGCCCTCCATTTCTCACCTGGTCTGACTCCAGCAAGCACAGGCAGCGGGTGATGGGTGAAAGCCATGCGTGGGGAGCTGCCCTGAGAGGAGAGGGCACTGCAGAAGTCCAGCTTTCCTGACTTCTTTAGAGAAGCCGGGCCTGGGGGGAGGAAGCAGCAACACAGAGCAGGTTTAGCTGGGCTAAGACAGGAGCAGGGAAAGCGGGAAGCCAGCAGCTCGGCTCCTTCTCTCCTTGGGCCCCTCCAGGCCTTCCCTTCCTGGGGCCAGGCTCCCTTCTACCTCCTTTGCCCAGTTCTGGGTCTCAATCTGAGCCAATTAGTGGGTGCATCTGACTAGAGAGGAAAATGAGGCCCTGGGAATGCGCGACTATGTGCACAGGACAGAGATGAGGGGCCCAGCCTATCCCTGACAAGCAGGTAACAGAATGAAAGGGTGGAATGCAGGCCAGCATCAAGGAAAGGGTGCAGGAGGAACCCAGGTGCCAGTGTGATAGCCAGGGAGGGACAGGCTGGGGTTTGTGCTATAGTGCCCTGGGCCATGAGATGTTCTGGTGGGAAGAAGCTCAGGGCTCCCTTTGGGGAAGGGAAAGCAAAGCCAGAGGACCTCAGGAGGAATGTAGTCCCCAAGAGAGCAGGGACAGGGCTAGAGAACCTAGAGAGTCCTCCAGCTGCTCAAGCCTAGGTGGGCCCTGGAGGAGAGCCAGAAGGGAGAAGCCACTCCTAGCCAGGGGACCCAGAAGCCACACTGAGGTAAGAGTGACATTCAGCAGAAAATGGGCTTAGAGAGCAGCCTATCTGAGCTATGCCTTTAAGAGTCTCATATTGCCAACTAAGATCATCTCTGCCCAGTGGGCAAGGTGTCCAAATAACAGGACAAAATGCAAGGCCCCTGGTGGGCCAGATTCTCCTTGGGAGCTTGCCTCCTGTCCTGGGCTGAGCTTCAAGGCTGTGCCCAGGCTGACAGGGATAAGGTGGAGCTGGGACAGATCTCTAGAGTGGCTATCTTTGACAGACAATTAGAGTCAGTTTGGGTGCGGGCCTGGGGGCTGCAGAACAGAGAAATAAGAGCCTTCTTAACTACAGAGGGAAGAAGAGGGGGAAGGGCAAACTCCCAGCTGCCAGCAGAGGTGTTATCTGGCGGCAGCTGTGTGCCACCTGATAGCTGGCACGGTGGGGGGTGGGGGAGCATCCCACCAGCTGTGCACAGCCTTCCCCACAGCCACACAGTGCCTCCCCAGCTGTTCCCTGTCCTGCAGCTGGGCTGCTTAATTGGCAATTTGTTGCAGTCTAGGGAAACAACACACAGGTGGGGGGGGGGTAGAAGAGTTGTGGGTGCTGCAGGAGGATGTTGGGGGTGCTCTGCATGGCAGGACTGCTGGAAGGAGCAGAAATATAGAAATGGTAGGTGTGAGAGCAGACATCAGAGAAAGAGAGCAGGAGCTGGGAAGAGGAGGACTCCTCCAGAACTAGGTCTGGGCAAAGGGGGCCAGGACCCCTTGCCCAGGCCAGCAGCAGACACATTCCTCAAAATACCCCAGTGGCAGTTCTTACAGAAGGAGTCATCTCATTGAGGCCTGATGGAGGACGAGGAACCAGAGATGCAGCCAGAGAGGCTCCCGGACCTTCTCCCCTCTTCCCTTCACTTCCCAAGGGAAGTTTGTGAGCCATGCTATCCCAGGACACCGCCTGCCATGAGGAAATCCTGGGAGGGGTCCCGGAGTCATGCCAGGGTACCATCCTGCAAAGACTAGCTTCTGCTGACCGTAGAGGGTCTTGAGTGCACTCCCTTATCCCAAGGCTTGCAGGTGAGCCCTTCTCCCCTCCCAGGAACTAAGAGCGAAGAAGCTGGAGCCTGCATTCATTATAGGACAGCAGAAAAGCAGTAACATCTCTCAGACTTCACCCTGATCTCCATCTACCCACCTGGCCCTCCCAGTAGTGGCACATTTGGCAAACACTAGACCAGTGGTTCTCAACCTTCCTAATGCCGCAACCCTTTAATACAGTTCCTCATGTTCTGGGAACCCCCAACCACAAAATTATTTTCGTTGCTCCTTCATAACTGTAATTTTTCTACTGTTATGAATCATAATATAAATATCTGATATGCAGGATGTATTTAGGTGACCCCTATGAAAGGGTCGTTCAACCTCCAAAGGGGTCACGACCCACAAGTTGAGAACCGCTGCACTAAACAAAGCACCATCAGGTCAGACACTTGTCTTCCTAGGTCAGAGAATGAAGCCTCAGCCCCAGGTCTGTCCAGAGCCGATGTGCCCTGCACACACCCCACGTGCTTGGGTCTATACTCCAGCCCCAAGATGCTCACACAGTGAGGACACATGCAGACTGCACCACTGGTGTGCTCAGGCAGGGAGCTCTTGCAGCCAGGCTCCTCCCTCAAATGTGCATGGGCAGACACACACACACACACACACACACACACTCCCACCTAGGATCTCCAGGTCTATCCACCAAGACTAGAGGTGAAGGTGGGTGAGTTAAATAGGAAGTAGGTGCCCAGAGCAGACTGGGAAGGACCGAGCTGGCTTTCAGCAGGCTCTTTTCCCTTTGCTAGCTTCCCTGACTAGTCTGAAAATGACTCTGCTCATTCTTCACTAGACTCTGAGCTTCTCTATAAAACTGGGTCCTTGGGACTAGCTGTTCTCAGCCTGTCCCTAGGGGAACATTCAGCAATGCCTGGAGACATTTTTGGTCAGCAAAACTGGGGATGAGAGGTTTGCTTCGAGAGGCCAGGGATGTTGCTAAACATCCTATAATGCACAGGACAGCCCCCAATATAGACAACGATAAAGCCCCAAATGTCATTAGTGCCCAGGTTAAGAAATTGCCCATGAAGCCCACAGTGTGGGGCAACCTCTCCAGAAAATTGCCACAAGAAGATGGTCACAGCCCTCTATTGCAGGGACTCAGAGGTTTGGCAGTCCCCTGTTTCCCACTGTCATGCCCACTATCACAGGACAGCCCACCTCCTTGCCCCACCTTCAGCCTGTTCCGCCTTCCCCTGGAAGATTGGGAGGCAAGAAGACAGATGGGCTGTGCCACCCAACGGGGGAAACCAGTGGAAAGCTCTTCATGTAAACTTAGTGGAGGAAATAAGGCTCCAGGCTTCCCTGCTCTGGGGGAGGGATGACTGCACCCATACCTGCATCCACATCGTTGGGCCACCCACTGGACTGGCTGCTGCCAGCTGCCGGGGAACGGCCTGTCCCAGGATAGAACACGTCATCAACAGGGCTCTCCATCTCACTGTCATCGATGGACTTGGGGCGCTTGGTGGTGCTGGGGAAGGAGGAAAAGGTCAGATGGATGGACCAGGGGTGGGCCAAGACTCCAGGAAATCACTGATGGCCCTCCATGTGAGGGGCAGTACCAGTGACAGCAGCACTTCAGGCACCTGCTACATGCCCACCCTCAGGGCCAGCCACCAGGCCCCTGGAGTGAGGCGGCTCCAAACCTGCCCCTCCTTCTTGAGCCCCTTCCTGAGCTATGATGATGGGTCCACCCAGTGGCCATGTCAAAGAAGTGGGCAAAACCCTCAGTTGCCTCCTCTGCCCCACTCACTATTTCCCATCAGTCCCAGGGCCAAGTGCGATGAGTGAGGTACTCACAGGGAATGTCAGGGGGTGCCATAAAACTCAGTCATCAATATAAAGCACATTGTAATGCAGTAATTTTAAACATCAAAATGAATGCCAAAAAGTTCCCAATGAACACAAATATCCATGTTGTAAAAAGGGAATCAACCTTACCCTGCACAAGACTTGCCTGACCAGAGCTATCTTCACCTCCCAAGCAGCTTCCTACTCCTTCTCTCCCTCTCCACACTACCACCATGAGACAGGCTAACCACCACTCCAGCCTGTCAGAGTGGCCTCCTAACTAGCTCAGTCCTGTCCACATGCACTACTGCTGGAGGGAGCTTTCTAGAACACACGTCCCCAGCGTCCCCTATAGAAACCCCTCAGCGGTCCCCACTGCCCAAGGATGAAGCCTAAACGCCTTCTTCTGGTCTCCAAAAACATCTTTGGGGTGGTCCCAACAGCCTCCCTAGTCTTGACTTGGATGGATGCTACTTTTTTACCAGGGTAAACCTGTACTAGCCGCTGGGGTATCTGGGCCCAAGTGTCACCTCCCCAAAAGAGAGGCCTTCCAGGCAGAGCCATGCCTTGTGTGGGTTTTTGTCCCTAAAGCAAAGTGGTATATGACAGCATAAGGCAGGAAATTCAGTAGATGACTGAGCACACTGGGCCAAGGCTGCTTTTGGGCCAGTGCCTTCAATGAGAGGTGACATTCTAAAGCACCCAGGCCTGGGCTGTACAGCTGCCTGCAGCCACCTGGGGGGATGACTTGGAGGCGAGGGAGGCAGGAAAGCTGAGGTGCTGGGCTTACCTGGTGGAAGGAGGGGAGGTGATGGACCGCCGTCCCAGGGTCACCTGGTTTATATTGTAGTAGCTGGGACTCTCCAGGTCTGCCAGCGAGAAGTTGGGCCCTGATGCTGTTGCAACAGGAGCTGGTAAGAACAAGAAGGTGATGAGGTTTGGAAGATGAGGTAAACCCAATGGGGCCTGTTCACTGCCATGAGGGGCTCTGCAGAGCTCAGGATGAGTTCACTGTGAGGTTCATGAGATGGGAGCAAGTGGGCCGTCTGGGCTGCTAAGGGAACCTCCTCTTGGTTAGGGATCAACTGGAAAGAGCCTTAGGTTGTGAATTAATTTGTTTATTCCAAAGCAGTGGAGATTAGAGATGGGACTCTCTGGATGACCCTGCTCCACCCAGCCTGGTGCCAATAGGGTAGAAAATATCCTGGGTAACCCTGTCTACCCCCATCCACCTGTCCCCAGGCCCCATCATCAGTGGGCCCCCAGGAGGTCCCAATTCCCAACATGGAAAGGATTCACTTACTTTGTGATACTCTCACCAGCTCCGTCACATTCCAGACCCCCGAAGTCACAAAACAGTCCTGGAAACTTAAGTGCCCTAAAGAGGAAAAAGGGAGGGTGAGGGCAGGCAAGGCCAGAGGGTGCTGCCTGCCTATCTTTCCAAAGCTCTTCCTGTCTTTCACTTCCTCCCTCCCAAATGCCAATTTGGGCTCCAGGCTGGCCCTCACATCTACACAGAAGAGGGTCTGTACTCCAGGCAAGCCCCTAACTGCCTAAGTTCATGCAAGACACAGCTGAGAGAAGGAGAAGAAGCAAAGATGGCCAGGCTGGATGGGGGTGGGCAAGGGTGAGCAGGGCACTGACCGTTGGGCAGTGGTTTGATGTCCGCATCTCCTTGCTGGTTTGAACTATCTGATTGTCCGGATTCTGAAGGAGACATAAAGGGAGACGGTCAGGAGCAAAGATCCCTGTAAGCACCAGCCAAGCAGCTGCCCTCCAGGCCTGTGCAGGGGCAAGACCCTCCCCACCATCCAACCAGAAGGGCTGGAAGAGACCAGAAAGGGGAAGGAAAACCAGCTCATGACCCAAGGCGGGTTTCTCTGCCTCAACACTTAACATTTGGGCTGGACTGTTTCCTGGGAAGGCCGTCCTGCACACTGTAGGTCGTCTGGGCATCATCCCTGACCTCCACTCACTAGATGACAATAGCACCCCAGGTGTGATAACCCAAACTATCCCCAGATGCTGCCCACTGTGCCCTGAAGGAAAAAGTCACCCTCAGCTGAACAGCACTGGCGAAGAGTCAGGAGCACAGAGGGGCCCAGGAGAGAAGCCAGGGACCCTCTCTCCACAGCTGGGATGAACCCAAGGGCCCCCAGCCCCTACCCGGCTCAGCTCACAGAAAAGCATCCCTTCCCTCACTTGGTTAATTAAAGCTAACCCTGTCTGCCTGCGCCTCCCCCACCTCACCTTTATGCTCACAGGCAGTGCCTGGCAACCCAGAGGGGGGAGGTTTGCCCTGACGCCGTCGCCCGCTCTGTGCCAGCCTGTCTGGGCTGTCTCATGCCCCAGTGCCACAGCTGCTCAGAGGGAGCCCTGAGACAAGGGCCCATTGTGCAGTGGGAGCTCAGAGAGAGCTGGGGGCAGGGTGAGTGTGTGTGTGAATATTTCGATGAGCTTGGGAAAGCCCCCCAGCCCCGCCCTCCAGGTCCTCAAAGCTTTGTGTGCCAGGGGCACAACAGGGACCTCCAGAATGCTTGCCTGGGCATGACAGCTGGGGAGAGAGTGGCGGGGGGCAGGGGGGACCAGGGCAGGTTGGGGGAAAGGAGGAAGGCAGGCATTTGGTGAAGAATCAGCTGCTCACAGGGGGACAACATAGGGATGGCATCTGATAACTGTGCCTTGGTATTGGCTAGGGCTTTGCCCAACTCTCTGCAATGGCCCTATCTCCTGGGTCTCACCCACCACCCCACATTCAATCCTCTAGCCCCCACTATAGTAAGGAAGTTCCCAAAGGGTGACAATGGCCCAAGAGTTGGGGTGAGGGGCCCTTTGGCCACTGAGAAGGGAAGAAAGAGGTGCCAAGTGCCCTCCTGCTCAACATTCTCAGAGTAAAGGCCAGGCCATGTCTGGGGTTAAGAAGCTGGCCACGCTTCTGGCTGTCTGTCTCAATGTAACAACAGGTGGACAAGGACAATGGTTTCAGGCCCCTTATCCTTTACCTTGCTCAATTTTTGAAACAGTCAAGAAAACAGAAGGGTTTTGTTGGTTAGAAAGTGCTAGGTGGCATCTGTGGCTCAGTGGGTAGGGTGCTGACCCCATATACTGAGGGTGGCGGGTTTGAACCCGCCCCAGACAAACTGCAACAATAAATAGCTGAGCGTTGGTGGTGGGTGCCTGTAGTCCCAGCTACTCCAGAGGCTGAGGCAAGAGAATCGCCTAAGCCCAATTCCTCCCAGGAATTGGAGGTTGCTATGAACTGTGACGCCACGGCACTCTACTGAGGGTGATAAAATGAGACTGTCTCTAAAAAAAAAAAGAAAGAAAAAAAAGAAAGTGCTAAGGAAGCTCCTCACCTCACCCCCCTCTGGCTTGGGTGCATCCTTCCATTCCTCCCCTTCCCACTCACCCTGGTAGTGCTTAACAAGAGAGATTGTGGCACTCTCTGTTCTGACGGGAGCCCAGGGGATCTCCCCCCATGTTCCCCAGGAGGGTGGCCTCTGTGAGCCACACAGTGTGCACCTTCTGTTACTCTCTCACCTCAGCCCATTCCTGGCTTCTTGGGTCTGGTTTTGGCCTGGCCAGTCCAAGGAGAGCAGCCAGGGGTAGAGGCCAGGGTCCCTACCCCAGGGCTCCACAACCTGGGCCCAGAGGCTGCTCTGACTTGCAGCTGGGGAAAGAGCACAGCCTTAGACTCATGTGAGAGCCAGCCAGGGGTGCACTGCACAGATCACTGCCCACAGTCTCTGCTATGGATCCCGCCCACTACTGGACCAACTCAGCGACCATGCAGCCCTCTAGGCCTGGGTTGAGGGAGAAGGAGAAGGCCTCAGGTCCACTCCCGTGGAGTGGACCTGGCCTGCTGCGAAAGGCCAAGGGGAGCCGCCTGCATGCACGTGTGGGTGAGCATGCGCAACCCAGCCCAGGGAAAGACTAGAGGGAACCCAACAAAGAGATGGAGGTGGGCCAGCGACAGCGGCAGAGACAAATGGGGCTCCAGGAGAGCGCGACAGACAGGAAATCCTTCTAAACCAGGACATGGCCCCAAAACATTATTGCTGTTATTACTATTAGCTCCCTGTAAAGGAGCAAGTGAGAGCGAGGATGGGCGGGCGAGGCCTGTGGCCGGGGCGCGTGCCTCCGAGCGCTGCTGGCAGCCATTTTAGACCTTGGCAGCCATCTTACGGCTGGCGGTCCCAGCCGTCGGCCTCTGACATGCTCAGCTCTGCTCTAGGACAAAAGGCAGAAACACAGGAGATCTGTACCCAGGCTCAGAGACAGAGGAGCCAGCCCTGTGGCAGGGGCAGCTGTGGCCAGGGCCCACTCATCTGCTCGGGCAGGGTCCCCCTGCTTCTCCAGGCCAGCACAGTGAAAGGGGCAGGGAAGGCCCAGACCAGAGCCTGGGGACACCACAGCTCTACTCAAAGGTGGCTGAAGCCCCTACAGGCCATTTCCATACCCAGGGCCTCAACTAGTTCAGTAAGAGAGTGGCAGGCACCTGGGGACGCTAAGGGCTGTGATGGGGGAAGTTCCCTGATACCCTGTTAGCTCAGGGGCACCTTGGACAGGCATTGGAAGGGGACCAGTAGGAACTCAGCGAGCAGCTGCAGGTACCAGACAGGCCACTGGGTCCACATGGGGCCAGGCTCCCAGGAAGAGCACGGAGATATCCAGCCCCAGGTCTAGGCCTGCTCTGGACCATCCCAGGCATTAGAAGCTGTGCCCCAGCTGGCATGTTCTGGAGCATCCCTGCATATTGACTCCTTTCCTTGTCTCAGCTCTCTGGGGAGGGGATAACCCTGGGATTTGAGATTTGGGATTTGGGACAGAGAGGAGGAAGGCCCCTTTATGACACCCCTCCCCAGGCCCCGCCTCACGGCTGCCCAGCTTTTATCTGGCAGAATGAGGCTTATCAGAGCCACCAGCTGAACAAATACACAAATCCACAGTTAGTGAGAAAAAAACACTCTGCCTGAACGCTTTATCTCCTGTTCGCAGGCCCCACACACTGCCCACTGCCAACAGCACAAGAGGGGACCTGACTGTAGCACAGCGGGGCTCCATTCTCCGCTTAGGAGGTGGAGGGCGGCATCCCAACTCTGGCCATGTCTCCCACTGGATCTCCACACTCCATCTTTTGGCCACCCTCTTCATCCCTCCTTGCCCCTGAGCCCAGAGTGGCTCTCTCCTGGCAGTTCCTGCTGGGGGGGGGGGGTGCATGAGTGAGCCCCTGCCCACACGGGAGACCCCCTCCAGTGTCTGCTCTCTCACTGAGGACAATGGGCCAGCTGGTGGCCTGTGGGCTGTGGAGGGGAAAGGACAGTGTTGGCTGGCACAAAGCAGGCAGGTGCTGGACTCCATCTTTTATCTTTTATCCTCTCTTGCCCAGCTCATGCCCCTAAGGCTGTTTCTCTGAATTTCCCATCTTCTGGGGCTATACCCCTGGCAGCCTTGAAGGCCCTAGCCTTCACTCCAGCCTGGTTACCAAAGCCATAGGGACTCTGACTACACAGTCCCAAATTTAGGGCCACCTGACCCCCCCACCCCCAGCCACCTCTCTTCAGAAACTATGGTTCCTATTACTTCCTACAGAGATTGGAGATGGGACAGAGGATAGCCACTGCTGTTGTAGGCCCCACACCAACTAGAATGTTTCCCTCCATGCTGGTCGTGAGGGCCAGAGTGCCCATCTGTGCACTCAGCTCCCTCCTGCTCAATTCATCAAATGAAACTGCCTAAAAACTGAGTCCAGCACTATATCCAATTGGTGCCCTGGCAACTGAGTTCCTGACCCCTGGACCAGGCTTGGGGTGAGAGAGAATCTTGGAGCCCACGGCTCATTCTTGCTGTTGCTGTGAGGTGTCAGGCCATTGCACAAGCTTGGAGCCCTGCTGACCATCCTCCTCTGGGGACCTGGGCTGCTCATGGGATTAACACTCCAAGGCAGAGGCCTCCTCTGTCTGTGGTTCTGGCCACTTTGCAGCCTTCCTAAAGGGAGGACTACGAAGAACAGGTGATAAATCTGGGCTCTGCAAAACAAAGCTCTAAAATGGTTTGGCTCCAGGTTCCAGGGTGCTCCCCATGTGTCATTCCCCCGTGTCAACAGCTTTATGAACGAGAGGCCTCAGGCAGTGTCCAGACCAGGGCCAGGCTCAGCCAAGGGTGGGTAGGGTGACCCTCCTTCTTCAGGCCCCTCTGAATCCCTGGAACAGCCATGAAGCACCCCCACTGTATCACTGCTCTTCTCACACCACCAGCTTCAGCCCTGAGGCACGCCCCACTCTTACCCTCTGTTCTTTGCCTTTCCCTGACTCCCCACTGCCCTGTCTCACTTCGTTCTGTCCTGGGTCCCCTGCACTTCTGTCTTTCCTTTGCCTTCACTTCACCTCTCTCCAGACCCCCTCCTCTCCCTCTTGTGCCAGTTTGCATGCATGTGTGCATGTGCATGTTTGCAAGAGAACTCTGCCTCTTCAGCGGAGCTCTGGAGGGAAAGCTCCAGCAGCCAGGAGGAGCCCAGCGCTGCACATAAACCCCGATTGATAGTGTGTTTTTTATATATATACATATATATTTTTTCTTTTTTTTTCTTCAGCCACAGACGGGGAGATATTTATGGCTCCCTCTAGGTGAGGGAGGAATTCCTGATTGCTGCAGCCAACACCACTCTGTCTCAGCTCCATTTCGAAACAAACTTGCCCTGTGAAAAT